ATAGAGAATTAGTAATTGGATTTATACATATAAAAACTCTTATAGGAGGACCTATATCAAATTGCCCCTAAAATTAAATACATATTTAAATAAGGAAAACCCAAAACCAATAATATTAATGGTATGCATCAAGATTGCTATTTCATAATCTCACACACACACACACACACACATACATATATATATATATATATATATATATATATATATATATATATATACACACATGTAATTTACCCTATCAGTTTTTTTACATAGGACTTATATATCTAATTCATATATTCAAAATCCATAGGAATATATGTAATATCTTTCATTGAAGTACAATTTTCAAAATTTTCACAAAATCTATAATAGTTGTTACAGTTTGGTTAACTTGACGTATATTACACATCTTATGTATATCCTGAAAAACAAAAGAAAAAAAAAATAACAACCATTAACAAAAAAAATATAAACATCAAGAATACATAAAAAAAAGAACATAACAACAAAATAAAATTGAAATGAAACATATAGAATGAAAAAGAATTAAAAAGAAAAATAGTGAATTACAACTAAATAATAATAACGAAATAAAATCAGAATGTTTACATACCACAATATATTACTGAAGAGAAATAATAAGACATAATACAATGAATAATCAAAAAACAGAAAATGAAGAGGAAATAGAAAAAAATTAACAACGAATAATGTGAAAAAGGAATATCAAGAAAACTAACCAATTAACAATTGTATCAAGAGCAAATACACATTCAAATGAAAAATGAATATGATCCGGCAATGTGAGAATGAGTGAAAACTATTGAGTATTTATAGGGTTTAGAATGTGGTTTAAGAAGATCTTTTAGACATTAATGAATTAGGAAAGTATATTATGTTGATATTAATATAAATTTGTAATCATTGTGCAAGAAATCCAGATTGATTTAGTACAAATAAATCAATTTGTTTTAAAGATTTCCATGATTTGTTATAATTGATCATTTATGGAAATCTTATTAATAAAAGGAAGGTTGTTCTGGTGAAACCCTAGGGTTTTTTTTCCCGCTCATTTTATGGCTACATTTGTCATTTAATTATTTTTTACTTTTATTATTTATTTCTTACTTTTATTATTCTATTATTTCAATTTTCATAAGGTTGCATTGATGAAGTTCTATGTATCATTTAATGTGTTCAATTTTTTTTTTTTTTTTTTTTTTTCCCCAATTCCAAAAACCCTAGGGGCAGGGGATTGTTCTACAGCCGTAAATATCATCACCATTAGTCGGAGTAATTTGGATTCAGGAAATTTGTAATTCAATAATTTGAATTCGTGTAATTGCAGATTTTTTTTCTTTCCATATATATATATATATATATATATATATATATATATATATATATATATATATATATATATATATATAT